GGGCCTAACCAAGGCTAGAGGGAGCTGGGGGCAGGGCCAGACCTCCCTGGCTGACTCAGTCCTTTAGGCCAGGAGCCATTGTGCCAGGCTGGGAAGGGGGCATTGAAGGCGAGGAGCACGGAGGCAAGCTGGCCAGCTAAAGAGTTCAGCCTCTCTCACCATCTAAGGACTTACCACTGCAGAGCCTTTTCTTGTTTCCTTTTGTCAATACATCCTCATACCTGGCTCAGTCTTGGACCTTTTACCCACAAAAATCGGGCTGGGCTGTGGGCTCCTCCCTCCCGGAAACCTCAAGTTTCAGGAGAGAAGGGGTTGAATTGAAGGAGGGGGTTGTGCAGTAGCCAGGGAAGCCCCAGCATCTAAACAACCACGCTAGTGTGGGACAGACCCACCAGATCAGTGGGATTGGGGTCCTCAGTCCCAGGACTAGCCGTGGAGGTGACTGTGCCCACTGAGCCACTGAGCGTGCCAAAGGGCAAGACAGCCGAGCTGAGCTGCCGTTACAGCACGTCGGTGGGAGACAACTTCGCCTTGGAGTGGAGCTTTGTGCCTCCTGGGAAGCCCATTTCTGCATCTCTTCCTGTGAGTTGAGGGCAGCTGTGCCTGCTGGGGTTGGTCAGGACAGAGGACTCACCCTGGATGAAGGATGGGGAGGGCTTTTGCCTCCTGGGGCTTCAGCTAGTTTGACCTTACTTTCTCCTTTGCTTTCCTACACCGAGTGTCCAACTCCTCTAAGTAAAAAACCCGTTTCAGTTATCAAATTCACTGAACCCGAGGTGGTGTGATTGATAGTGTAGTATATATAGAGATCATGAATGCCTTGGGTCTCTTCCCAGATTCTGTACTTCACCAACAACCACCTGTACCCCACGGGCTCTAAAGCAGATCGGGCCAGCCTTCTCCACAGCCCCCCCACAGCAGGAGTGGCTACCCTGAAACTGACTGACCTCCGCCCCTCAGACACTGGCACCTACCTCTGCAACGTTAACAACCCACCCGACTTCTACACCAATGGCTTGGGGTTAATCAACCTTACTGTGCTGGGTAAGGCATGTTGGGGATGCAATAGCCACCCTCTTACCCTGTAAGTGTGCACTGACCCTGACCAGACCCCCTCAGTCCTGATTTGAGCCCAAATAATTATCCGCTGTACTGGGAGCCTCAAGAAAAAAATTACCCCTCCCCAAGACTTTTGTTTTTCTTATTGTTCTTGGAGACAGGGTTTCTCTGTGTAGCTTTGGAACCTGTCCTGGAACTTGCTCTGTAGACCAGGCTAGCCTTGGACTCACACAGATCTGCTTGCCTCCTGTGTGCTGGGATTAAAGGCGTGTGTCACCAGCACTGGCCACCTTCCGAAGACTTTTAATCTAGATGGTCATGCTTCAACTCCACCCCACAGTATCTTAGGGTCTAGTATCAACATGTTGGAGAGAGAGACGAGAGAGAAACACAGAAAGAGAAACAGAACCAACCATACAGGTGGTGGGGGCAGGGGGAGAGGGGTTTGAGTCATACTCCACTAACTCCATCATTCATTCAGGAACCTCCTATTGGTAACTCAGATTTGGATTCTGTCCCTCCCAGTGTTCATGACAAAGAAGGGAAGGTGCCATTAGAGGAACAGAGCCTCTCTAATCGAGTACCCCATTGTGTTCCAAGCTTCCACCTCACCAGAAATCAGAGCGTGTTAAGAGCTGAGCAGTAACAAGTTTTGAAAAGCAGACAGGGATGTTTATGTGGAAAAGAGAAGGCCTAAGATATGGTGTGTGTCCTGTATACTCAAATATCTAAAGGGCTTTCACATGGAGGAGAGATTGTAATTTCTCTTTATGGGCCCCAGTGGCAAGAACTGGAAGCAGTCAGTGGATATTATATTAACAATGTGTTTGTGTTCAGCGTGGGGAAGACTTCTCTAAGACTCAAGAGTTCCCAGGAGTGGAAATCACTTCTGAGGTACAGACGGCGACTTGATAGAGGTGTTCAAACAGGGAATGTTGAACTCATCAGGTCTGGGATTAGAGGATCACTGAGGTTCTTCTGTGGTTTTGCAGTGCCCCCCAGTCAACCCTCATGCAGTCATAGTGGACAAACCTCTGTGGGAGGTTCTGTTGCACTGAGATGCAGCTCCTCTGAGGGAGCACCCAAGCCGGTCTACAACTGGGAACATCTTGGATCTTCTCCTACACCTCCTCCTGGTAGCATGGTTCAAGGTGAGCGAGCAGGGCATTGGAAGATGGGCCTGGAGACCTAAGATCAGGTCTCTAAACCCCATGCCCCACCCACATCAGTTTATGACTTAGGCTCTTTCCCTCCTCCTTCCTTGTATTGATGCCTTCCTGTCTGTCTTCCTGATAGCCTGGAAGAGAGCAGGGGGCAGAGAACAGTCTTACAGTTCCTACCTATCTAGTCATTGGAGATTTTTTGGTTTGTTTTTGTTTTTAGAGACAAGGTTTCTCTGTGTAACAATCCTGGCTGGCCTGGAACTCACTGAGATCTACCAGCCTCTGCCTCCCAAGTGCTGGGACTAAAGGTGTGCACCTCCACCGCCTGGCTTCACTGGAGATTTCTTAAGGGTCACAAGTTGCTTCCAAATTTCCAAGAGAGGGAACTAGAGAGTAGCATGGATTGGCTTAAACATGGTGGATTTCTTTGGAGCCTTAGCTTCCTTTTGTAGGTTCCAGATGCCACCCTGGTTTGGTCTGTAGCTACCATCCCTGTAAACCCTTTTATCCAGCAAGTCTCCTCCCCTAGATCATTTCCTGATTGTTCTCTGCCTTGTGAGACAGCAGAGTTCAGAAAAGCAGTTGAATCAGCTTAGTTATTCTAGAGGATGGATGTTTAGTTATTAAGACTTTCGTTAACATCCAGGATCTGAGCTCATCCAGTAAGCACCCATTTCCCTTTATCACCTTCCTGTATATACAGTTCCTCCTCCCTGAGAAGGCAGCTGTTTGGGGTGGCAAGGGCGCAGAAGTTGCAGTGGCCTTGGAGTTCCTCTCTGGGTCTTCTCAAATTACTCCCGCTTGGAGCCAGGATTCCCACCGATTAAATGGGGTTAGATCTTTCTTGGTAGATTGTTTTAAGGACTAAATGCATTGAGCTTTTGTGGTAGTAGTATGGGCTGACTGCGTGCTAAATGCATGGCAGTGTACTTCCTTCTCACTCTCTAGATGAAGTGTCTGGCCAGCTCATTCTCACCAATCTCTCCCTGACCTCCTCTGGCACCTACCGTTGTGTGGCCAGCAACCAGATGGGTAGTGCCTCCTGCGAGCTGAACCTCTCAGTGACTGGTAGGAGATGCTGGGTAGAGGCCTGGAAAGCCTTGGTTTGGGGAGACTACATAACATTGCCTGAGGGTGGGCCAAAAACTTCTGCAACTCTGAGGGTTCTGTCTCCCTAGACTCATCTGAAGGCCGAGTGGCTGGGACTCTGATTGGGGTACTCCTGGGCGTGCTGCTGCTATCAGTGGCTGCATTCTGCCTCATCAGGTTCCAGAAAGAGAGGAAAAAGGAGCCCAAGGAGACATACGGGGGCAGTGACCTTCGGTGAGCAGGGGAGCTGGGGGTGGTGCAGAGAGGAATGAAAGATCTTGGGCTCAAAGTGGATGTCTTCAGGTTTCAAGCTGATGTCACTAAAAGACTTTAAGGGAGGGAGTTGATGCTTAGTTCTGGTATAGGATGGAGGGATTGGTTCACAAGCTAGGGTAGGAATAGCTCAGTATGCAGGACTACCCTGATCCTCCTCTCCACAATGAAAGTGTGTTTTCCTTCTGTACTGTCCTTTTTGTTTTGAAGGCAGAGTTTTCTCTGTGTAGCTCTGGAACTCGCTCTGTAGACCAGGCTGGCCTTGAACTCACAGAGATCCACCTGCTTCTGCCTCCCAAGTGCCAGGATTAAAGGCTTTGTGCCATCACTGCCTGGCTTCATTCTGTCTTAATGTGTATATGCATATCAATCAATCAATCTATCTATTTATCTATCTATCTATCTCATATGGAGGTACTGGAGGGAAGTGGATGGTAGATGCCAGGAATTGCATTTGTTCTGAGGTAAGTTATTCTGGGTAGGGAAAACACAAAGGCCAAAGCTCTCTTTGTTATACACTTGACACTTTAGCTGCAAGGCATGGGGTCAGAACAGGGATTGGTATAGCATTTCTCTTTCCTTAGATGGGGTCTTACCAGGTAGCCTTGGCTAGCCTGGACCTTTCTATGTAGATTAGGCTGGCCTCAAACTCACAGAGACCCTCATGTTTCTGCTCAAGTACTAGGATTAAAGGTGTGCACCACCACACCTGATCATTTCTGTTTTCATTTTTGTAGACATATGTACATGAATGTACATGTGTGTATGTGTTTGTGCAGGTCAGTGTGCCAAGTGTGTGGCCAGAAGATAACCTGGCCTTTCTAAGAAGGTTGTCTACCTTATTATTTTTATATATTGTGTGTTCTTGTTGTACCTATGTGAAGGGTACACATAGGAAGTCTGAGGACAACTTTTTGGAGTCATTTTTCACTGGTCTGGAGCTGACCTCTGGAGCTGACCAAGTAAGCTAGATGGCAAGTGAGCCCCGGAGATCCACCAGTCTTCATCTTTTCAGTTCTGGGATTACAAGCTTGTGTCTGACTTATTTTACAAGGATTCTGGGGTTCATTGAACTTTAAGGTCTTCTGCTTAAAAATGTAACACTTAACTCACTGAGCCATCTTCTCAACTCTCATGACAGTTCTTAAAATGTGGCCCTCAGATGACCTAGAGAAATCTGCCAGGAACTTGTTTAAATACTCAGACTTAGGCCATGTTCTGTGCTTCTCAAGGCAAAGTGTGTGTGTCAGGGGAGACAGGGCCTGGACAAAGTTCTGCAGATGATTCTCAGGACAGCAAAATCTAAATGTTCCTGGGTTAGAGGATATTTCTAGCCATTGTATGCCTTTGCTTGTATCCTTCAGGGAGGATGCCACTGCTCCTGGGGTTTCTGAGCAGGCTTCTATGAGGGCTGATTACAGCAAGAGGCTCCTGGAGAAGGTCCCATCCGACAGCACGGTGACGACCAAATCCAAACTCTCTATGGTTGTCTGACTTCTGATCCCTGAGGGCGTTGAGGGGGAATGTTGGTGATTAAAGCCATTGGGTACCTTGTTACCTCCTTCTTCTTTTACTGGTGTGGTGAATTCCTCTCTGTGACCCAAAGAGTACTACCAATCAGGGAAGGAATGGGTTTGAAATCCCAGAGATGATGCTGCAAGAGGGAAGTTCGGCTAGGTCTAAAGGATAGGTTTCAACCTAGGTGACTTTGCACACCTCCCATACTTCCATCCCATTAGTTTGGGCTCCCGTTAGTGGCTTTATGCAAACCCCGCGCCCTCACTTCCCATTCCCTCCCGCCTCCCACCCTGCACCCTCTGAACACTTGGACAATCCTCTTTATTGTTCACATTCCAACCCAGTATGGTAACATGCACACGCAGAGATTAAAAACCTTCCAGCCACAACCCCAGGAGCCCAGCGGGGGAGGGGCTATCTGGGGGCAGGGCTGCGGATGACTCCTCCTACTGAGCCTCCAGGCGCACGGAGGCTTTTGCATAAACAAAGGAGAGCGGGAGGGGCTGCTCTCAGGGTGCGCTCGGAGGGAAAAGGGGTGACAGGCAGGTGTGGGACAGGACTTCCTTTCCCATCAGAGCAAGGGGCATCATCAGACACCATGAAATCCCTCTTCCCCTCTTTCCTAGCCCCAGGTTTAAGGGGTTGAGGCTAGGCTGGGGTGGAAACGGCACAAAGACGCGGGGCGCCCCCTTTCGTTGCCCACAGAACGAAAGGACTTGGTGGTTGCTTCCCCCCCCACACCCGAGTACTTGAGCGACGCATCGGGCGCCCTCTGCAGTACGCGCAGCGAAGCGCACCGAGGCTGCGGAGGCAGAGCTGCATGCTGGGCGCAAGGACAGGTGGGCGTGAAGCAAAAGGACAATTTTGCGAGTATGGGGTTTGGGACGAGGGTGGGGAGAAAAGGCGAAAGGGGACCACGTTAGACTGGAGAGCTAACTAAAAGGGTACGGACTTGGCGACGCCGCGACGAAGCCAAGGGAGTCTCTAGGGCGGGGGAGGGCTCCTGAAGCTGGCTGGTTGTGGCAAGGAGGGGATCACAAACACAGTAGGAAAGTCTTGTCACTGCGAAGGGGACGCGGCATCATCTCTCCTCTGGAACTGAGGAGAGAGAAGGTCTGAGAATCTGCCCTCTGCTAGCGTTATCTCCCCTCTCCCTTTCGGGGAGTGTCACCCAGATCCCCTCCCCTGCTCACTGAGCTGCAATGAGCCCCGGGGCAGGTACGTGAGTGAGCCTCCTCTCTGTGTGCTTATGGCCCTTGGCTGCGCTTGTGCAGCCAAATCAGGGTGACTGACTGCGTGTCTGTGTTGGTTCAAGTGTGTCTCTGCTGCAGCCTCAGGCGTCTCGACATAACAGAGGGTCTGCAAAGTTATGTTCCTTGCCAGGGAGGGGTTGAGGGCAAGCAGAGAGAACGCCTGGGCAACTGGGTCATTTTTCCCACCCAGCCTCCTCCCCTCCTCCCCTCCACACTCTGCAGCTTTGGAGTCATATTAGTTACCTTCTGAAACGTTCAGTTCTTCGGTCCAAGGTGAGGCATAAAGAGGGAGGGAGAGACAGGTGAGCTTTTAGCTAGGCAAGTCATCATCCTAGGCCTTCTCTCACCCAGCTGTCTCTGTATCCTAGGTCCCCACCCTTGACTCCCTCCGCATTCTTCTCCACTCCCATCCCAACCTTAGACACTCCTAACTTTTTACCGAGAAGGCCTGGAAAACGAGAGCCTCCGGCCTGCCATGCTCTCCAGCCAGCCTCACCTGGCCTAGTCTCCGCTGGGGCCGCCGCCCGCGCCTCCCCGGGCGCCCCCAGCTCCGCCGGGTCCCCCGGGTCCCGGTCCCTTTCGGCCGCACTCTCCGCTCTTTATCTTCTTCCTCGCCATGTGGCCCCGGAAACTCGCCTGGATTTTGGCTGCAGCAGCGTTGGCTCCCGGATCATCTAGCGGGATGTCTAGAATATCGTCGTCTGGTTTGGAGCAGGCGCTCTCCTGAGGATGGGACAGGGGTTCTAACGACTGATAAGGCCCAGATTATGAGGGCAAGGGGTAAGGAGGACAGGGGGGACCTCGAAGGCGGTGGGAGAAGCAGAGCGGGAAGACTCGGAGGGGCAGGCGAGCACATCTCCTAGGCAGTAGCCACCGAGAAGGTTCAGGGCCAGGTGGACACAGGAAGAAGTGCATGGGAGGGTGGAGAAAGGAGAAAGTCAGCTAATCCTGCTGAAAGTAGCCTTTAGTTTCAGGGGGCTGCGGATTTGAATGAACGAACGGTGAGTCTGGAAGGGCAGAGAAAAAGCAGCCGGCACATGTGAAAGTGACCACCCTATGCTCTGAGAAGATGCCTCCAGTTCAGAAGGGCCTTTCTGTGTACAGGATTCCCCAGTGAGTGGACACAAATATCTGCTAAAGAGCTGCCCTCCTCCCTGCCCCCTCCCCTCCCCGCCCCCTCAATAGTACTGCACCAGAGCTCAAGAATTTCAGGAGAAGATGAGGCCACTGCTCCTTGATTCAGCCAGAGGCCTGGGATCTGTGTTTCCACTGGGCTCGCCATTTCCTACTGTGCCCCAAGTTGAACTCAAACACCAAAAAAGGTAAAACAACAGTAACAGAAAACGAAACATAAGACAAGAAGTCCTTTAGTTAGTGTCCTCATGGGAAGAAAAGAGTTAGGCCAATGGCTACATTTAAGCTCTTACCTTGTCCCAGGTGCAACAGCTGTGTTTTCTAGGCATTTTAGTTCTTCCTCAACAATAAAGCTGGGGCACTCTTTTCTTTGTTTTCTTTACTTTCCTTTCTTTTTTTGTGTGTTTTGTTTTTTGTCTTTTGAGACAGGGTTTCTCTGTGAAACAGTCCTGGCTGTCCTGGAATTCACTGAGATCCACCTGCCTTTGCCTCTCAAGTGCTGGGATTAAAGGCCTGTGCCACCTTTCATTCTTACTTGAGTTTACCATGATGCAATTGATGATTAGAATGTCAACAGCAAAACAAAACAAAAGAAAACAAAACAAAAAAAGCTTACCTAGGGTTCCAGGCAATTATCTGTATCTGGTAGATTTGAACCTTGTATGTCAAGTTCTAGAGTTTATTTTAATGCCTAAGAAAGGAAATGCAACCAGCTGCACAGCTGAGTTGTACTCTTAGCTGTAATGGTGCGGTTCGGGGGAGTTATCTGAGCGTCCCAGTCTTACATGGTCCATTTGAGAAAATGAGGATAATAATATTCACTTCTATGGGTTCTGGAGAAGAGTAAATCACCTGGTATCTAGTGGCATAATCTATTGATCAGCAAACAGTAGCTATGTAAAATGATTGACTATGTAAGCCCAAAGTGACCTGAAAACAACAACCTTGCACAGTTTGTCCTAATAATATGTTATGTGCGATGCAATGGTTTAGTCAGTGAAATATCATATATATGTATATATATATATATATATATATATATATATAGTCAGTCCCACATGATCATGTCAAACTAATAAGGCCATAACCATCTCAGCTTTATAAATATACCCTGTTATGCTTGCACTATTATGAAGTTGTCTAAACACATTTCTCAGAACATATTCCATCATTAAGGAATGTGTGATATAATTAAAGCCCCAATATATATAATCTATGTGTGTGATATAATCTATGCCCCAATGTTCTGTCTCTTCCCTTTCTTTTCCTTTCTCTCCCTTTCTCTTACTCCTGCTGTTTCTCAGAGAGCTCAGATCAAATCTAGGACCTTATGCATGATAGGCAAATGGTTACCACTTAACTATATCCCTATAGCAAGTGACTTGTGTCCCAGGCAAGCCTTGCACTCACAATCTTACTGCCTCTTCCTACAGAGTGCTCCGGGCATGTTTTCGTGTCCAATTTCTGTTCCTCTGTCACCCTGCTCTATGTGGGAATAGAAAGGATTAAAACAAGACATGGTAGCAGATGCCTGTACTCCCAGTACTTTGTTGCTATGAAGCCTGAGGAAGGAAGATCAGGAATTGGAGGCCATCCTAGGCTACATGAGATCCTCTCTCAAACACACACACACACACACACACACACACACACACACACACACAAACAGGCAGGAAAGCCACTAAACTCCAGACAAAACAACATTAAAGAAAGGATGAGGACTAGAGGCTTAATACTGAAGCATCAGTAATAACTGGGGAGAGGATGTTGCTATGATGTCAGAAGGGCATTTTCTCTTGACGGGCCTCCTCTGGCTTCTGGGATTTTGTCTTTATTTTTTGACCAAGGTGCTCACTGTTTTCCCTGTTTCTTTCTCCTCACATCAGGTGGCCAAGATTCCACACTCTAAGTTAGTTTTCTTCTGCCTCATTCTGACCACCAACTATCTAATTGTCAGAAATGGGTAGGGTATGGGTGAGGATTCAGTGTCATCTGCCCTTGACAGGTTTGCCCTAGGGACATCTTTTTTAAATTTTAGTTTATTTTCTGAGACAAGGACTCATCATGTAGCCTTGGGTGACACACAACTTGCTGTGTTGGCCAGGCTAGTCTTGAACTTCCCACAGTTCTCCTGCCTCTGCCTCTTGAGTGTTGGGAATACAGGTGTGAACTACCATACCCAGCCTGTAAGTTTAGCTTTCTACTCCAGAAGCCCAAGCCTGAGTTTACAAATGACTCCCTCTCATCATGTTTCCCCAGCTGTCCTCATTTCCTGGGCCTCAGAGTTCCTTAATTTGTGCTCAAGATGCTTCTCAATCAATTTAAACACAGTTTCAAGGAGTTGCTAAGAGGCTGGTCTGAGTGCAGATGGATGGGCCTAAAACATCCTTTGTCTTTTTGCCTTTCTTAGCTCTGGGGCTCATCATGACATCTTATATTCACATAAAATCCAAGTCAACTCCTTCAGGTTTTCCGATTCTCTGAGTGTGAGTCTTCCTTGGAATAGTCTCAGGAAATAGACACACATCTTGAAAGAGGACAGCAAGCATAAAAACCTATTCCAGATTCCCTCGCCTTGGCCTTGGCAGCTGTAGACACCGTGGACATTGGGGGGTTGAGTGCTAAAGGAGCCTTTGTC